ATACCACTCGAAAACAATCAAAGTTAAACTGCTAACGAATTATCCAAAGAGTAGAGCATCAACACCTCCTGTATTGCCACAGGTGGCCTTAAACTAGGCAAAGTGTTGTTTGGGGTTACTGTTACCACTATATGTGTTAAATTTTAGGATAGAATACACCTTTGGGTACGACACCTGGTCATATTTGATGGGATATGGATGATATTTGTTCACTATTTTTTGGCCTGATTCGAAGATATGACAGCCTTAATTTTTTCATTGATGATTGTCTCCAATTGTGCCACTGTCACAGGCTCTAACATACTTGCCACATTTTGAGGAGTAGGCTGGCGAAACAAACGATCATTCTCAATTCCTCCTTCATCTGAACCTCCTTCATGTGAACCTTGCACTCCCGACACTTAGCATATTGGATGAGCAGGCGGATTAGCGAGACAACTACTTGTCGCCTGATGATTGGTTTGTTGGATAGGTACATGATTGGTAGTGACATTTCTCTACATCATCTGCATCATTTGCGCCATCAACACAGCCATTTTGGCATTTAACTGAGCTATTTCTTTAGTCAGCGCAGTATCCTCAGACGTTACGTGTAAGTGTCATGCTCATCAAGGCCCATGCAATAATGTATTTTTGAGTGTATTTTTCATTATGCATCTACATGTTTGTAAAATTTGCATTATACATTTGCATGAAGATAATGTATTTGTATTATGTAGGATAAATGCATACTTCATTTGCACGTGTATTTACATTTATATGCTCGTATATGCATTTTCATGTTTGTATGTATGATTGTATATGTGTATATGCATTTGCATGTTTAACATATGTGCAAAATATACATACATTTGAATAATACACTCGTGCAATGCACTCACACATTTTACTCAGTGCATTTGTGTGATGCACTCGTACAGATCTCAATGCACTTGCATAGTGACATGATCATTAGCGTATGTACAAAGTGACTTGTGTGATCAATAGTATGGATGTTATGTAGTGTGCCTATATGATTGGTAGTATATATGTGCATGCCACTTGATGCATTTGTATGTCTTTAGTACGCGTGCATTATACAATAGGGACTTGTAGGCAACACCCTTCGATGATTTTGGTGTGTCACGAGCACTTTAATGAAGGGTCGTGCAACCTGTGACACGTAACAGTCTGTTATTTTATTTCATTTCAAGAATAAGTGATCACGGGGTATATGACACTCATAGGGCGCGTATGAGTCTACTGACTTTAATAACTGGCATGCACGCTATATGGGGAAACTGTGCACCTATGAAACTTTCCATGTCATTTTGTGTTTGGAGTTTGGCTCAACGGGTCCCACAAAGGAATTAATTTTCTAGGTTACAACCCAGCCCTAATTCATTCCTTTGCACATTTCAGTCTACAGAGTGTGTGTTGCAAAGGGGTTTGAGTGTGTACTAGCTAAGAGCTAAGAGACGAAAGTTTTGTTCCTACTTGTTAGTGAACACTAGTTCTTCTACTAGTTCACTATAAGTTCCTTTATTATGCTTATTTTTCATCCAAATTTTCTTTCAATGTTTAGAATCTAGGATGTCATGCACTTTATATCATGTTGACTTAAGAATTTAGGTTATATTTCAATTTCTCTAACCTTTTTCAAAGTCATATAATTTGCTGTAAATTTTGGCAACTCTTTGGCGTCGTCCCCGCATAGCAGACTACATTGGGTGTGTAAAATCTTCCAGCTTGCCGAGAAAATAAATCACAGTAGGTGTCAGGTGACACCACGACCAAAACTTCATTCCCTACATGCTAATAAAAGCAGTCATGGGTTCTTGAAGTATCAATTTAAAATACAACATTTACCCTTCTGCTAAGAAAAGCAGTCGCATATACATAGTTTTCTTTTCATATAACAAATTTTCTCACTCGTTGATAAAAACAGTCATGAGTACATATCTTATGCAAACAAATTTTTCTGTTCGCTAATAAAACGATTATGGGTACTTACATTTCATGTATACGAATTTTCTCACTCGCTAATAAAAGTAGTCACAGATACTTATATTTCAAGCATACAAATTTTCCTGCTCACAAATAAAAATGGTTACAAGTACTTATATTTCATGTATACGAATTTTTCCGCTCGCTAAAAAAAGCGGTCATTGGTACTGATGTTTCCCCCGCTCTATAATAAAATTGATCACGGGTACTTATATCATATATATACAAATTATGAAATACTAGTGTCGGGTATATATCTTAAGTTGCACGGCAGAAGCGACGACGGCTAACGGCGATGATTACGATGACACACAAAACCTGTGATGCACAGTTACATTTTTCTTATTATGATTAATAATTATTACATCTAATTATATGCATATTATATTTATTTATTTATTTTAGTTGGGGCTAGAGAGAGAAAGAGAGTGTGCAAGCTTTCTTTCTAGAAAGAGAAAGAGATGGAAGGAGTGGATTTGGTGGAAATGGTATAGGAAGTTGTTTATGGAGAGGAGGGTGATGTTTAGAGAGAGAAAATTCCTCTCTCTAGGAAGGAGGATAGGAGAAATTGATAGTGAAGGGAGGTGTTTGAGATTGAGATTGATGTATTTAGGAAGAAAGTTATGGAATCTCTCTCTTTCTAGAGAGAAAAAATTCTCTCTCTAGACCTAGAGAGAAAATGGGACTTTTTTGGTGGAGATGTAGGTGTCGGGGAGTATTTTTTTTAAGAGATGTGGAATTTCAGGGAGAAATGGAGAAATAAAAAAAATTAGGGTTACGGTTAGGTTAGGTTTGGGAAGAAACTCATGGAAGATGAAGAAGGTGAAAGGGAAGAAGAAGAGTGGAAGAAGAAGAGAAAATGGGAGGAAATGGGGGAGGAAGAAAGGAAGTGGAAGGAGGAGGAGGAGGAAGATAGTTATCTTGGTGGCCAGCGGAGGCATGGAGAGGAAGCCGAGAGGTGAGGGGGCATTCGGCCTTGTGCGTGAGAGTGAATCGTGAGGGGGCCAATTAGGGTGAGTGAGGGTGAGTGTTATGTGAGGAATGAAGGGCTAAGAGTTTAAGGGGAGGTACTTTAGGGAATTTTTATTTAGATTTTTTTAATCTCCCTTTCTCTCCCTCTTATTGTTATTTTTAAAAATATATATGATATAAAAAAATTTATAATCGTGCCTTGACATTGCAGTCAAATCACCAACATCGTCGTTATTATTCATGCACGTTGATGCCCTGATTCACGCACGCGAAATATAAATGTTCGCCGATCGACGTCCCCAATCAATATAGGCAACGATTTTAGCTATTTTTGTTGCTTCAGACAAGCTAGCATTGTCCGTTTCACGAACAGAGGCCATTTCGGCAACTTAAATTTTTAGTCGATGTCGGGTGATTTACGCGCTACGTCACGCTCTTTTGCATTCGAAACTCACCTTGCATGATCGACTCAACCTCGACACTAGTATTGAGGTCAACAAAATAATCAAGCAATCATTCATCCACAAGATGAATCAAACAGTGAGCAGAAAGACGAAGCTTACTACTTGATGTTGTGTCATATTTGAATTTATTTTAATTTTGCATATGATGAAGTCTATATTTAAAGTAACAAATGAGTTATCTCAAGTTTTACAAAAAAAAAAAGATCAACATATCATAAATACTATGACATTGATAAAAACTTCGAAGCAAAGACTACAAAATATGAGAGATGAATGATGAAATATTTTATTAGTAGAAGTCAATATTTTTTGTAAGAAGAATAATTTAAGCGTTTCAAATATGACTGATAATTTTGTAATGCGAGCGAGATCGACAAGTCATTCTCAAGTAATCACAAAAGAACATTATTATAAAATTGAGTTAGTTATTTAGTTATAGATATGTAACTTCAAGACCTCAATAATAGATTTTATGAGATAAACATTGGTTTGCTTATGTGTATGATATGGTTCAATCCATGTGACCCATTTATCTTTTGAAAAATAAAAATTGGTATATGTAGTCAAATTTTATCCGTCAGATTTTTCAAATATAAATCTCATTATATTAGATAGCCAATTTGATACTTCTATAATTAATATGAGATGTAGTGATGCACTCAACAATTTAATAGAAATTAGAGAACTTGCACGAAAATGGTGAAAACAAAGAAAAATGATATTTACACTTTAGTGTTCTTACTTATAAAGTTTACTTTGAAATTGCCAATTACTACAACAACGATGAGAATTTTCTACTAAGAAAATTGTAAAGCAACATTTGTGCAATCATATGGGAGACTCGTGGATGAATGATTTTTTTATTACTTATATTAAAAATATATGTTTTTAATATTATTGATCATAAAGTGATTGTACAAAGATTTCAAAATATGAAGACTAGGAGGGAGAAATTGTAAGTGTCATATAAGATTAATATGAATAGCATGTGCTCTGGATTGTAAGACTTTTATTATATAGTTTATCTTTTTTTTATAATAAGTCTAATAAAAAAAGTTTTAAAACCGTCTATCAGTTTCAAGCTTGGATGAAAAAGAATGAGGGTATTTTTAGTATTCATAATTAGTGCACCCACATGAAAAAAATCATTGCTCCACCAGTGACAACTCCATGCCACTTTCATGGGCATTTTTCTTACCGTAGTGAGCATTATATTGCAAAACTAAACTAAATTATTGCAGTCCAAAAAAGGCCTAGATTACCAAAGATTTGAAACAGCAAACTTAAAAAAAAAAAGGACATAGAATTTAAGAAAATATAAGCATGTCAAATTCAACAGCAACCAACCAAAGCATACGAGAACTGATGCCTTACAATTATTTTAAGAAGAATAGGATGAGAAAACCATTCACAATCGAGCTATAAAGCTAGTATGCAAGTAATATCCAGCAACCAAGGCCCCAACCGAAAAGGGAAATATCACACAGAGTATCAAGATAGAGATCATGCTTTACAATTCGGAAGCGAATCATTAAAACTAAATCAAATATCACGAAGAGATGCAAAAGGTAAATCTACCTTCGAGAGGGTGGTCCTCTGGCCCTACCGATGAATCTCCGCAAACATCACAGACGACCCTTCCATGGATCTCCCCCGTCCAAGCCTCCGCAGCACATGCAAGCAACAAGATAACAAGGCCACCAATCAGCCTGGAAAACTTCATCCTAGAAGTGGAGATTCGCCACGGGTGATTTCTTCGGCAATTCTAATGGAGCGAGACTGGCCTCCGGAGGAAAGAAAAATAAATCCACCTAAAAAGAATCAGCTCCAGCTGTAGTGGGCCTGTGGGCTACGCCGACAAGTTGCACCCATGCCACGCGTGAGATCATAATTTTTCTAAATTTTGAGAAAATAGAGAATTGAAAAGGTTAGATGAGGTACTTGAGTTTATATGCTTTTAGAGGATTATTTTTGTTATTTTATTTTTAAAATATATTTATAATTTTATTTTGGAATGAATTATTCTTTTTCTATATATAGAAGGTATTTATTGAAGTCTGTCTCATGCTACTTTAGCTCAAATTTGTTTGAATTTGAACTTTATTTGAATTAGATTTGAATATGGTTCAATCTAAGTTGATAAAATCTTATTTCTCCAATTTAGAACATTACGGGGCACATAAAATCAAATTTTCCCATATAATAGAGGTGTGATAAGAATTTTTTTTATTAACTCTTAATAGTTGTACTAGAAAAAATTGATCAAGGGTCAACATTTATTCTAAATGACTAAAATATGAGTTTGGGCTAATTAGAACCGATGAAAAGGTTACTTGGTTAGGTTTGGATCATTGAGGTATGCTTAGGAGCATTTTGATCATTTTAAACTTTATTAGTCAAATAGATTCACCATGGGTAAAATATGAATCTAAATGACTTTAAAAGGGTTTTAGAATAATTTAGAGTCAAAGTCAACTTATAGTCCAAGGTTTGGCCTTATGGGTACCTCGATAGGTCTTATAGTAACATTTTGATAATTTTATCATTTTTGGTCAACGAGGATTGACCAAGGATGGAAATGGGTTCAAATAATTCTAAAATAAATTAGAAATCATTTGAAGCCAATTTTAGGACCAAATTACAAGGTTTGGGTATTTGGGTTATCTTTAGTATTTTCTAAAGTGTTTAGGATTTAGACCTAAGGTTTGAGTTTTGGACTAGCCTACTACCTTCCTAAAGACACTAAGAATATCATGAAACATGCATGGGCTACTCAATGCTACGTCTTTGGATATCTATATATGGGAAATTCTAGAGGCTATTTCAACTCTAAGGTATGAAAGCTTAGGTTTTAAGAGTATCCTAGAGATGAAAGAATTGACCTCATCAAAAATGAGAATAATAAATAGACCATCAATAGATGTGTTAAACTCATAAAAGTATACCATAGATATTGGTGTTTGTCATGATAATCAATAGGATCCATTAAGAGACAGGATATAGCTTCAATTGAAAATTTTGAATGTTTGATATTTTTTTTTTTGTTTAGTTGGATGTGAAGAATTTAAAATTGATTTGCTTGGGTAATTTTAGATAGGTGATTATTTTCATTCAAGATGCTAGGTTCATTTCTAAATTGAAGAAAGGAATTTAAGAAGGTTTAGGGATAGTTAAATTTTAGCATAGATTTTCATCCCCAAATAGATGGTCATTCTAAACAGGTCATCCATATTTTGGAAGATTCATTAAGATTATGTGTATTGGATTTTAGCGGCAGCTAGGAAGATTACATTTTCTTGATTGAATTTGCTTATTATAATAATTATCAATCAAGTATAGGATTGACTCTGTATGAGATTTTATATGGGAAAAAGTGTAGCACTCCATTATCTTAGATTGAGTTGGGAGGGAATAGACTAATTAGACTTTAATTAGTTAATGATGCCATAGAGAAAATCAGGTAGATCAAAAGAGACTAGAAGTAGCTCAGGGTAGGTAAAAGAAGTACCATGATTTAAGATATAATTCAATCGAATTTCAAATCGGTGATTTTATTTTCCTAAAGGTTAGATCGGTAAAAGGAGTTAGTATATTTGGAAGAAATAATAAACTCAACCCAATGTTTACTGGCCCTTAGAAAATTATTGAGAAAATAGGAAAGTTTTCTTATAGTTTAATGTTTCTTGATTGTATGTCTAATATTCATAATGTGTTTCATGTTTCTATTTTGATGAATTTGGAGTCTAATTCTTAGTAGAAGAATCTAGAGGGAGAAGCAGAGGTTCAACTAAATCTAACATATAAGGAAGAACCATAATGTGTCCTTGCTTTTGATGTCAAGCAATTGAGGAATAAATTAATACCTTTGGTTAAGGTGTACTGGAAACATAGGTCTAAGCAAGAAGCCTCCTAGGAGAAAGAATTAGAGATGAGAAAATCATATCCAGAAAAATTCTAGTAATTTGAATTTAAAATTTTTGGGGATGACATTTTTATTAGGAGGGGAGAATGTAACAATCGTCATTCCAAAACTCAGGTAATTAACTTAATTTTTGTTTAGTTTTTTCCTTATAAATAATATAGTGATAAATTAACTTTAGAGAAGTCCATACCAAAAGTTCATCTAAAAATGAGAGAATGCAAGTCACCAAAATATTATGAGTGCAGTACTACAATATTGAGCTCCCTATTTAGGGGCTAGTTTTAAGGTGGAGTTGTGGTGCTAGGGGGCACTGCCGTGGAGCCCAACTTATTGTTCATGAGATACTAGGATTCCTAGAAACTTAAAGATTATATGAGAATATGAAAGATTCTTTAGGATTGTTATAATTCTAGGGCGGTGGGTGCCATAGTGCTGAGTCAAAATGAGTGTTTTTAAATAATAAATATCTGGATCCATTTACTAAAACCCCTCACCCCTGCCATCCTTGCCATAAAACAGAACGAGAAGAGGAGAAGAGATTTTGGAAGCCAGAACTTGGCAATCATTTGTTCAGCAAGTTAAGGAAATTATTCGGCATGAGGCAGGAAATCTACGCTCTATTTTCAATTTTGATTCCAAAATTTCTATAAATATATATGCTTAAAATATATATTTCTAAAATTTGAGGAAAATTTTATTTTGTAACTTTTAGTATAACTCTTTACACTCTATTCTGAATAATATGACTATAATAATACAAATTTTTAATAGCTGGTTTATTTCTAAAAAAAATTAAAAACATGTCACTTCCGAACTTCTGTCCAGCTGCTAAAACATGTTAAATTATCATTTTATGCAGTCTCTATAAATTTAATAATATTCTAGAATATTTGAGTATGTACCTAATATTTAGGAGGAATTTATAAACCTATACAACTTTATCATGTTCTATTTTAATTCTTTAATTATATACTGCCTATACATAAATATGTATTTCATGATATTCTATATCTCTATTATTAAAAAGGCAGCACATTGTGAATTCTATGCTTAGGCACCATTGTAAATTCTATACTACTATGTTTTATTATGACCTCTGAATTGGCTCTATGTAGGAAGTAACTACTCTACTCTCCACTTGCCTAGAGTTGGTAGGAGGTGGTAAAACGGAGTTATAAGAAGGCCTTGAATCATGTGCATTTTTGCATCTATATTAGCATGTGAGTCTAACTTATCCCATTACTACACTCTATAAAGTATAAGCCTTTTTCTATTATAAGTTAGAATAAAAACATTAATCTTCTTTATTCTTGCATATTTTAATTACAAATTCTGAATTAAATTCATGTTATGAAGATAGGTTGGCATACTGAGTTTTGTACTCATACTCTTGAAAGTTCTTTAATACCACTTGAAAGTTCTCCGATACCACTTGAAAGTGTTATGGTGAACTAAGAGGGGGAGGAAGTTGAATTGGTTATTTAAAAACTTCTATTTTACTTAAAAATCAAATATGAGAAACGTGCAGAATCTTCATGAAAAATTTTCAAAAAAAAAGGAAGAAAAATATCTTTATTCTTTTAACTTTTAGAATATATTCTTTATCAAAAAATCCCCGATCACAACTTTTCCAAAAATAAACCAAATAGCCTAAGTGCGAAAGTAGATGCAAGAAAGTAAGTGTAAGAAGCAATGAATACATAAATCATATTTAAAGTGGTTCGATTGAATTTACCTATGTTCACTCTTCAAAGGTCCTCCTCTTTGGTTATTTTACTAACTCGCATTCCTTTGACCTTCAACCTAGTGGAGAAACCCTTCTCCCTTTGTAGATGGAGAATGACCTCTACATGCTCTTTTGAGCTCAAAACATCTCCCTCCTTCAACTCCTTGCTATGATAGAGATACCATCATCTAACCTCCTTAACTAGTAAGTCTTTCACCTAAGAACAATTCATATATCTCTTCTCTAAAATCTGAACAACATTAATATAGAGGACCCAAGGTGTAGGTTGACTGACAACCATGTGAATCCCCTTAACCCCTTGACTCCCTTAAGGAAAAACTCCCTCAACTTCACCTTCTCTCTCCCCTTAAGTGGTTTGGACTCTCACATAAGCAAGGAGACTCCCCTCTCCTTTTCTCAAGCTCTCTCCCAGGATTATGTCATATGCTACTCAACTTTAAACCCTCAATCCTCTGTTGAAAGTATTAAAAGAAGGCAATTTAATATAAAACTCTAATTTTAAATTTAATTATTCTTATAATACAGTATGATATTATGATAGTATTGTTAGATTAATTCAATTTCGTCACTAATCATCATGTATAATGTATAGTCATATAGTACAATTAGTTATATCAAATTAGGCTTTATACAGGATGAACCAAGGATTTACTGCCAAGTTCTTAGGTTAAACGAACTGTACGATTTGGAACATATCATATGATCACTAATTAGGATTTGATCTTAATTCAATCCCTTGATCTACAAGATTAAATTAGGCGATGTTCATTAATATTCATAAAATAATTATTTTGTACATTATGATCAATTCAAATTTTAAAATTTAAATTATCCAAATTTTGATTATATAGATTCAATGACTTATCAAAATAACTATTCATCGTGTATGATTATAGGCCAATTCAAATTTAATTATTTTATGTAATTAAATATTTGAATTAATTTCTGATTTAATAGATCGTATAGTATGATGTAGATCACACAATATGATGTAGATCATATAATACAAAAAATAAAAAAATTCTAGTACTTATTTTTATCCCCCTTATGTGTATGTGCATGATTATCTTGCTAGTATTTACCTAATATATAAAATGACTCATGAAAAGAGAAAAGTATAGACTCTATCATGCATAGATTGACTTGGGTCTTGATGATGCACTATCTTTAATCTTAATTCT